TAATTATATGAGTAGGTATTTGGCAGAAACGCTGATCGTGACACCGATTATTTTCACTGTTTGTTTACGTTTCCATAAAGGCGCGGGAAATGCGCGGTGGGGGTGGGGAGGAGGAGAGGGGTAGGAGACGCGGCACGGCAAAGGAGGAGAGCAATAATTACGACATACTCACCGACATATCGTGGTCACGGGATGTGATTCTTTCCTGGGGTGGGCAATCCCGCCTCGCTTGTCCAGGATGTGATCCTTTGGGGATGCTTCCCGTCCCACGCATCGTTGTGTGGCTCCAGGCGGCAACGCCGGGGAAGTGCCAAGTGACAATAGTGAAATGATCAGGATAATAAACTATTATGGGCTGGCCGGGAGTCGAACCCCATACAGTTTCAGACTGGTCACAATTGAGCAACCTCAGCTGCCACAGAGCGGGTAGGCGACAACCCTAGTCAACAGTTGATCGGATCTATCAGTCTGGCTGATGGCGTGGACACACCGGATCCCATCCGAACTCCGAAGTTAAGCACGCGGGGCCCCGTGTAAAAGCGGGGTGGGTACTCCCTCTTTTTCACATTCTTTGAAAAATAATTTGGTCCTAAACGGCCCCTCTATAGTCTGTTCGGAATTCGCTGGATGGTGCGCTGGATGGTGCGCACCTCCACCGCTCCCCCCTCGCCCTCCGCGCCTGCACGCTAGTGCGTAGGCAACCCATCGAGCTGCCGCGTATTCTTACGGACACCCGGTATTGTAAACGGGCCCAAGGTTGCGCTCCCACTTTTTTGTGTAGCATGATCATCTTGTCAGGTTGTATCAATCGCTTTGTGGTAGTCTTATGTTGTCAGCGCTGTTGCTTTTCAAGATAATTTTGTTTGATACACTCAATTGTAATGTTTTGTTATCAATAGCAATAAATTAGATGAGGAGGGTTCAAAATAGCAGTTATTTCTGGACATTTTGGAATCTATTTCCTTTTCAGTCAGTTACAAATCATACAGAATATTACTTCATTATTATTAACAAAAACATCTCTTGGCTGAATTTACATTTTCACAATATGACAATACATTTACAATATGTACACATAAGTTTCTTTTGGCTAGTGTCTCTCCATTCCAAGCAGAGGAAGGTTGGAGAAGTTGATTGGTACCAAACTACATATAGCTTGCATTCTTCAGGACTGGAAGAATAGAGTAAATTCCAAAACCAAAACCAGAAGTAAAATTGTTCCCAGCATGTCTCAAAGAAGACAATTTGGATTAAAGTTAACAATGTATTTACTTTTCACATTTTAGCATGCAGTCATGTGCCAGAAACCAATTTGGTACTGCATGGAAATGATAATTACAGTGGAAGGTACTCTGTCACATTTTGAAACTGTTGGTAACCTAACGCAGCCTTCCACAGAAAGGGAATAAAATTTTGGTTCTTTTGTACTGAAATCAGTAATAAGATGGCCAATGCCGCATTCATATTAAATAAAGGCAAACTTTTATAAATCTCTACAGGCTGGTATGGAAGTGTAGACTATGCATGATAATCATGCACACCCTATTTCTAATTCAATCTTAAAGAAAATGCAAGAGCAATGTAAATGTGGTTTGGAAATAAACCACTCTCAATCATGACACTTTCATACACACACTCATTCACACATTCACACAATTTGCAGACTCTAATTTCATCACAAATCACTTCTCAGTGTTTCAATTCATTTACACCTGGGTTGACCTTTAGGCAAGTAAAATTGAGCATATCTTTTTTAATTTCAGCTGCTTATAAATACTTGATTGTGCTCGTTTGAAGCACATTTTCAAATACATGACAGTTAAACTTGTAATTTAAAATGCACCCATTGCATTGTCTTACCAGAAATCAATAAATTTGGTTTTAAATGGAAAGGATTGACCAGAATATCTTTATTACTTAATCATGCACTTTTCAGTGCAAAACATCCAGGGACAACACATACAAAATGATTTGTGATTATTCCAAAAATGATTGCCAGGGTCTCACAGATTTTTCTTTATGGTCTGTCACAATGTGGTGCAAATGGAATGCTTATGAACACATACATACCGCAGAGTTGGTTACAGGGATAGTTTTAAAATACTATGAAAAGAATTGATAAAGTTGTCAATAATAACTTATTGGTTTCCTTACATTTGAAAGCTGATGGTATAAAAGAATTGGTTTCCTCCTCAGAAGACAGCAAAATTTTATTACGAAGCCCTTTTGTTCATATACTCAACCCTAAAGTCAGAGCAGTATTTTCTAATAAATGTATGAAAATGACAGAGCAAAAAAGAGTACTCCACTCAAAATCATGACAAAACATGGTCCAGAGCAGATTTCTTTTTAGGTATACAGCTTCTTTTGGATTGGCTCAATTTGTTGGGGGGAAATAATGAACATGAAAGCATGAAAAGATGACTCTAATTTAAACTTTTGTACAAGGTTGATATCAAAATAGAAAAGGAACAAGAGATGGCCATATAAGACACAAAAACTCTCTTTCCACCCACCACAAAGTGTGCAGATGAAAAGCAGAGGAGTCTCTGAACTAAATTTGATCCCTACATCTGCCTGTCAGGTACATAAAACAAATCTGTCCTTCACATGTATTGTGCTACACCACACTAGGACAAACCACAAATAAAATATAATATGCATACACAATAGACACATTGCTGTGAAGTTCTTTTGCTCATACAATACTAACAATGGCAACAAATATATCTGCAAACAGCACTCTTATGTTACTAAAATTTCACAAAACCAAAAGTATCACAGATAATTTCTTTAGAATTTGGCAATCATATGTCTTGCAAACCACAATGCAGATTACTTTTTAAAAAGATCTTGGAATAATTCAAAATGTGATCAGGACAGGGATACAATGAACCAACATGTCCTCATATTCCACAAATATGTAAACAACAAATTAAGTGCAGCTCTCCTGAGGTAAAATAACATGAGAATCATTAACTTATAAGGAAAATGAAAATTCTGTTTCCATGATAAAACAAATTGACAAATCTAAGCAGTTCGCGAAAGGTGATTCACTAACATGAACCCACTTGAACTGCTAAAGCATTAAAACACAATGGTTAAGCCAGGACGCTTCACTCAAGGCCCCTGTCAGTCTTCTGATGACAACCTTGCGTATGTCACTGCCAGATGTTACGTTTGTCTTTTAAAAATGAATAGATAATTTTTTGTTCTTTTTTAGATTTGGAAAGGAGAAGAGTGGGGTGACTCAAATGAATAAAATAAAATCAAATTTTTTTTACATTTCATGAGTTCAACTTAGGGTCAGTTCAGGGGTGGTCCAAGTGGGGAATAGATGTCATTATGACTGAATATTGCAAAGTGGAGAGCGAAAGATTTACCTCCATCACATTGACTTAAAATCTTTTGTGTGCCAAACTAAAATCTTGTATTTTCTTATGAATTCAGATTCCTGAATCACATGCGAGCAAAAGAACTTCATTGACATCACACTCCCTGACAGCTCTTTCCAAAAAATTTAACTATTCTGTAATGCAAGGCTATTGAATACTGATATCCAATCCACTAGTGTTCCAATGTATTTTTAAAGGAGAAGGAAACACTTGTCACATTAGCCTGAAATGCTACTGATTAATTTAAATGCAATGTAAAAGGCACTACAAACACTATGCCACACACTTGCTTTAAGGTGAAGTGTGATAATGTGGACCACTTAAAAACTTGTAGCACCATATTGATTTGAAAGTGCACTGATACTTCAATATTTAAAGCATAGATACTGAAACCATCTATATCATTATCAATTTTCTCATACAATAGGAAGTTATTGATGTCATCAAAGAAGCAGAAACTAATGGAGAGTGAAATGGTTGGTGCGGTTCCATTGGTCCGTAGGAGCAGGGGAGTGGCAAAGCTGTTAATGGTAATCTTCTGATAATTGTTGTAAGAGTCTGCCTCAGACCTCCCCAGTGAGAAACGGTGACGTCGGTCGAAAAGACGTCAGAAGTAGATTTTTAGACCAAAGATGTCTTATATAGACGTCTATTCGACATTGACAGTCAAATGCTTCTCACTGGGACTGCACCTATGAGAAAACTGGTCCGCAGTGTCCACATGATACAGAGTTGTTGGCACCCTTGATGTAGACCTAGTATTCATTTTGTCTTCTTCCACATTGGCAGTGACACCCACATACTGTACGGTTTGTTGTCTCAGTTGTCACATAGTCTTTGTATGAAGGAACACAGTCACTAAAACATATTTGAAGTTTGACAGTTGTTAACTCTCCATTTTTAAAATTAGTAACTTTATATTAAAACAAAAATGCAAGAACACTTATGTTCTGCTATCACTTTGTTCGCACACTAGCAATACATTGCAAAAGGAACTCTTTCATATAATAATAATTAATATTATTATTTTGATAATACATTCACCTATATTCATCTTAGCTTGATTTTGATTTCATAAAAGTTGCTCTTCTCTTTAAAAATTACTATTTAATAATAAATAAATACTCTCTTTGTTGTCTTTGCACTGGACACTCAATAACAAATTAGGTTTGCTCAAAGTTTTAATCTTTGGGCCAGAATGCCAGTGCATAGATGGTTTGAGAAAGGGTCCATAAGTCTATGATCACAGAATGCTGTCTAGGCTAGGAATCTGACATCTACTCAAATAGTGCCAGTATGTCATCAGAAGTGGTATTGACATTGTTGCCATTACTACTGGCACCAGATGAGGGTGGTGTTGCCAGGTCTGGCGGGTCCAGGTACGATAATAGCTCCATTGGGTCCACCATACTATCTGGGAGAAGCTGCAAAAGTAAAACAATGAAACATAGTTAATGGAACAATGCCTACTTAAAAAACTACATAATGAAATTGTCCAGAAACCTACATTCAGAGCTTCCTGGCCTGTTCCTTCTCCATCAATTACTGCGGCTGGATCAAAATTAAGATCTGACGGAATGTCAGCATCTGTGAGAGTAGTTGCTGAATTATTGGCACTATTATTTGCTGTGCTAGATGTGTTGTCTACTGAGCCAGGAGGAGGTACACTTGGAGGGCCATTTGGAGTATGAGGAGTGTGGGGAGTGTGTGGAGTGTGAGGTGTATGGGGCATCTGAAATGAAATATTTCATTAAAAATATTATTCCAATAGGCAAATGACAATTGTAGTTTTTGAGAGCTAAACTTACTTGTTCACTTAAGCTCTTTTCCATGGCATTTAAGGGATCTAATGAGTTTACAGATTCACTAAGATGTGACAATGGTCCTCCTGGGCTGTTGAACTCATTGCTACCTGGATTATTTGAGCCATTACCACTATAATCATAAGAGTTACTGCCAGGACCACTTCCACTTGTAGGACCTCCGGAACCTCTTTGCATATTATTATTGTTATTATTACTATTAAAAGAGGAATTATTGCTCATCATGGACCCACTGGCTATACCTAGAAGGAAGAGTCAAGTTATATTATTTGTACAAAATGAACACATCTTCCTTCGATTGAAAAATAATTACATAACACTAATTGAACTTACTATTCATGTCAGGTGGTAAGTAAGGTGACATTGCTTGTGTATTATCCCAGTTATTCATGGTTGGTAAGGTCATGCTGCCTGGAGACACAGCCTTACCCAGTCTCTTGGCTCCACAAGCATCACCTTCTCCTTCCTCAGCCTATGATAAAAACACACACACACACAAAACACAAATTAAATTTGAGGAAACTTATTAGTTTAATATATCTAAGAATCAACCTAAATCTAAAGGTACCTACCTTGATACCCGGTTGTAAGTTCTTTGTTGGTTTCCAGTTTGCTGCTGAATCTATTGTTACTTCATCAACTTCAGAGGAATTTAGTGTATTTAGAATGCCCCACATGTATTGATCAACTTCTAAGCCTTCAAGCTGGGCAGGTTTGCTGTAGTAAAAGAAAAATTCAATAAATTGTCGGCTCATTTGAAAAAAAATAAATTGAAATCTAACCAAAAATGAGACTTACTTGCAAACTGGACATCTCCAGGAGCCCCGTTCACAGTTCATTTGTAAATAAGATTCGAGATCAAAACACTGAATATGTTTGCAGTCATGGCCACGTGCTGGTAATGTGATACGTTTAAAAGTGATTGGACATTTTAATGATACCTGGATTTAAAAGAATAAATCAAAATAAATAGGAAATTTGATAGAATAACTGAAAAATTGAGCAAAACAGAGGACTTATCAGGATTTACAAGCACACTTAACATGGATGTAATTCATACCTTTAATGCAGTTTGTTCTACACCATCTCTATCTGAACACAAAGTGCCGGTGCCAGTACTTGGTGCACCTCCTCCATTTGTGAAATTGCGCTTTATTTTAGAAATACAATGTTCTGCTGTAAGGAGGCGTTTTCTTAACAGACCCTGGAGCACACTCCTAACACTTGGGCGGTGGACTAATTGAAGAACAAATAGGTGGGACTGTAAAGAGAACAGATATTTAGTACTTATTTCATGGCAATAGAAATATTACAAAAAACGAATCAAAACTTACACAACAACATGCTGACACAGTAATTTGAATTGTGTTTCTTCCTGGCTGGCAGACTTCTTTTAGGTATAATGGTTTATGACTTGTTTTATTTTCACCTCTGTCGATTGAAAGAGGGGTGGCATTGACAGAGACCTGCACGCTTGCTGGCCAATTTGTATTCATTTGCCGATCTTCATGATGGAAGCACTTTAATTGTAACTCTAAATCTGATCTGAAGTTGAACAAAGGAATTGATTATAATTTGAACAGAGTTGATCCTCCCGACCATACTAAGTAAGGCTATTTACCTCCACATAAGGGTTTGGTGAACGGTGGGTTTTAATTGGAAAACATGATTGCTAACAGCAAGGTTGTGCTCAAGACGGAATGGTGGAAGAATAATACCATCTCGAACAGGGAATGTAAGCCTAAGCTCATCATCTTCTGTGAAATAGATAACATTTTTCATTATAAGACACTATTATTTCGACAGATAATGTAGAATTTCATTTCTGAATCTTCGGAGCAACCCTACTTACTTTGAATGGGTAACGTTGGTTTCACATCGCCGCCGCCAGGGCTGGCGTAGGGCATGGAGCCCGGGTGTTGGGGTGTTAGTGGTGGGGTGGGATTGCCAGGTATTGGACTATGCTGGTAACTCATGGCCCCTGACCCTGACGTGTAAGGTCCTGGGCCTCCCGAGGCAGGGCCAGGCCCTGTCCCAGGCACGCCGCCGGGCCCCACGCCAGGCCCCACACCGGGTCCCACTCCGGGTGACGACCCCACGCTCGCCCCCACGCCGGGTCCTACCCCGGCACTAGATCCCACGCTGGGGTTGTTGCCGCCAGCATTCCCTTGGTAACTCATTGCGCCTGTCGCTACCCCACCAGAGTACGGCCCAGGCACGACCGTACTCGACCCAACTGTGGAACCACCCCCGACCGCCGCCGCGCCCGTGCCAGCACCACCGTAGCTGCCCGGCCCGCCGGGTCCTGGAAAATAAGTGTTTTGTTGTTTTAAAAAATACACTAAAAATCGCGTTTCAGAGATACAGTTTCGAGTACAGTCGACATACCTTGGAGGTGGTTGGAGAAGGGCTGCGCAGAGCTGCCGTTGTGGTGATTCATGTAGGGAAGGTTGTTGCTGCTACTGCTGAAGTACTGGTGGCCTCCTTGACTAGCTGCGGTGTAAGGCGGGGTGGCCTGCCTCATGGCGCGCACTCCCGCGTTGGGGAATGACCCATTGGGCCCCATGTTGGCGGTGGGTCCCATTCCAGCGTTGGGCCCCATACCGCCGTTGGGTCCCATGCTTGAGTTCGGTCCCATTCCAGCGTTCGGTCCCATGGCAGAGTTGGGCCCCATGCCGGAGTTAGGACCCATGGCAGAAGTGGGTCCCATACCAGCGTTAGGCCCCATCCCCGCGTTGGGACCCATGCCGGCGTTAGGTCCCATGGTGGTGTTGGGCCCCATTCCAGCATTCGGTCCCATAGCAGCGTTGGGCCCCATGCCAGCGTTGGGCCCCATGCCAGCGTTTGGTCCCATTCCAGAGTTAGGTCCCATTCCAGAGTTAGGTCCCATTCCAGAGTTAGGGCCCATACCAGAGTTGGGTCCCATTCCAGCGTTCGGTCCCATGCTAGCGTTGGGCACCATGTTTCCTGTTACGCCCATGTTGCCTCCAGGACCCATGGACTGCTGAGGGTATTGCCCCTGGAAGTTGGGCCTCCCCGTGTAGCCAGGATACTGCTGGCCTGAGGGGTATGCTGGGGCCTGCCTTTTCTGAGACATGTGCATGGCAGGGCTTGGGTAGGGCGCAAGTCGACGGGGATACATCTGGTTCTGAAACACGAGACACAAAAGTAAGACTCAACCCAAGTCCTCTGAGCACGACTGTCAAACAACAATCGACTAGAAACTTACCTGCATTCCCATCTTGTTCATTGCTCCAGGGCCCATATTGTTCATACTGTTCATGCTGTTCATACTGTTCATGTTATTCATGTTGCCCATATTTGGCGCCATGCCCATGTTGTTCATGTTGCCCATGCCCATGTGGTTCATGTTGCCGTTCGGCCCCATGCCCATGTGGCTCATGTTGTTCATGCCGGGCGCCATGTTGCCCATGCTGTTCATGTTGCCCATGTTGCCCATCATGTTGCCGTGCTGACCCATCATTCCCATCTGGGCCATGGAGTTCATGGGGCTCATGCCGTTCATGTTGCCCATGTTGCCCATGCCCATGTGACCGCGGGCGCCGTAGTACTGCTGCGGGCCTCCCGGGCCCGGTCCACCCTGCTGCATGCCGTGGCCCATCTGCAACACATAACACAAAGGGGTTAGTTGTGGTGAACTATACCCAGTCTGGACTGGACAGCCCCTCTGGCGGCGCTCCCCCGCCGCGCCCGGCGCCCCCAGGGCGTTCACTCCGCGTCCCTCAGCCAGCCAGGCCATGCATCACACGGCCCCGGCCAGCGCCCCGCCAGTGAGGGATTTGTCGTGAGAATGAAACGGTTCGAGTCATCGGTTGGGGCGTGGCGGGGAGTGCTTTGTCTATTTCTGCTCGAGCCTCGACCTCATCGCCGCGGTGTGGCACATGGCACCCCACACGACCTCGCCCCGCCCCGTCGCGACGAGCACTCTTTCCTTGCGCCCCTCTCCCCCGTACAGCGCGGGCGCGTCAGCACCCCCCCCCCCCGCCACACACACACACACACACACACATACACCGCGCACCGAGAGCACACTCACACCCAGCGTGCAGTAGTAATGCCCGGTTATTTTAGAGCGCTTGGCAAAGGAGGGTGACCAGGACCAAATTGAACTAAATCAGGCTGAGAGGTGAGAACGAGGGGCAGCGGCGGCGGCGGCGCGGGCAGCAGTGCCGCGTCGCGTCGCGTCGCGCGGGTCCCAGCGGCCGGGGAAAGGGAGGGGGAAGGGGGGGCGTCATCGCGCGGGCCTTATCAGCAAGGAGCACGGCGTGCACGTGCGCACCGCGGCGTCGCGACCGAGGCGGAAGGAGAGGAGCGGGGAAGGGAAGGACAATGAGGTCGCGACGGGCCGGGAGCAGCAGTCCGCTCCGATGGACCGCGCGGGCGAGCAGCGGGAGGCTGCCGTGGAACATTCCGCTACTCCGCCTCACTCGGGCGGGCATTATCATTTGTATGGATTTGCGGAGAGCGGCCGTAAACCGAACAGGCCAGCAGGACGGCCGAGCCGGGCAGCCGATCGCACGCGGCGGACCCGGGTATTCTAGTGTTCAGTGGAGCGTGGCGGGGCGGGGCGCAGAGGGGGCCGCTATAAGGCGCGCGTGTCGGCCGAGGCGCGCGTGCCAAGGGTACGGGACAGGGCACTCGGGGGAGGAGAGAGAGAGAGAGAGAGCCGAGTGGCTGGAGAGAAACTTGAACGTTTCGCGCCACTGACCTGCGAGAACTGGTTGGAGTTGTCGTGCTGCATGGCGGCTACGGTGGAGGTGGGCGTGGCGCTGGACACCATGCCCGCCGAGGAGTACGCCTGCTGGCCCTGCTGGCCGGGCTGCGAGGACTGCTGCTGTTGCTGCTGTTGTTGTTGCTGCTGCTGAACCCCCTGTTGCTGCTGCTGTGCCCCCTGTTGCTGCTGGCCTTGCTGCTGCTGCTGTTGCTGCTGTTGCTGCTGGGCGGATGTCATCTGCCCGGACGGCCCGCCCGGGCCCGCCTGCCCCTGGGCCGGGGGTTGCTGCGGGGAGTCGGCGTTCTGCGCGGAGGTTGGCTGGCCAGCGGCCCCCACCCCCGCGCTCATGGGCCCAACGCCCGCGGGGCCACCCTGGCCCCCCGGCCCGCCCGCGGTCCCCGCCGCGGGGACGCCGACGGAGTTTCCGGCAGAGGGACCATAGCCCCCCGCCGGCCCAGACGGCCCTGCCGCCCCAGCCCCTGCCGCCCTGCGGACAGAAGGCCGAGCTCTTGGTCGAGGAGCGCTACAACACAGAGAACACCGTGCTAATCATGCGCAAGCAAGGAACGAGGCTGTGCAAAATAATTGGTGAAAGGAAAAGGAACACGAAATGAAAAAAAAAGGGTTAAAAAATCTTAGCGTTGAGAAATAATCCCTGAAGCCCCTACGCCGGTCGCCCCCCACTGATTCCCTCTCTAGACACACGTCCACTTGTGCAATCTCATGCGTGCGGCTGTTAGGGGGAGGGGCCGGAGGGGCCGGAGGGGCCAGTGCAAAAGCTACTTGTCACTAAGCGCGCCCGAGCGAGCTGTCGAGCCGTCGGCGGGACGTGGACCCAGCCCTTGCGTCAACGTCACAGGGAGGTCGCGGGTTCGCGTCCCGCCAAAGGAACCGACGGCGGCACCCGCTACACCGAGAGCGAGAGATCGTGAAAGAGGTATTTACCCGCTGAACGGTGGCGTCTGTCGATACACGTTGTTGAACGGCGTCGAGCTAGTGGTGCTGCTGGTGGTGGTCGGCGCCGTGTTGGGGGCGGTGGTGCCCGACGCCTGCGACTGCTTGGGGCCAGGCGAGGACAGCCCCCCGCCCTGCTGCTGGTTCGCCTGCTGCTGGCCCCACACCGTCGTCACCACGGACAGCTGCTGCTGGCTGTGCTGGCCGCCCGCAGCGGGGCCCGTGGGGCCCGAGGGGCCCGATGGACCCACCCACTCCCTGCAACACGCAAGAAAAGCCCGCGTTAGAGTCTCCGCGGTAAACATTCAGTCCCGCTGGAAAAACATTCTAGCGATATAGCATGGCAATGCGATTGCTAAATGCAAGGCGTGGTCGTAGTCAAAATTATGGACGCCTGGTTACAGGGGAGTTCAATACTGTCTACGCAGACAGCGGCGCCGACCGCTCGCTGAGTGAGCAATCGACAAGTCCTTCATCCCTCTCCCCAACCTGTTGCAGTCGGCTCAGCGCGAGCGAGCAGGTCCCGCTGAGGTTGTGTTTGCAAATGGTGATGTAAATCTCGGGCGGACCCGACCCCGTCTGTCGCGCCGCCCGAGCCGCGCTGTGCGTGAGGCAGGCGAGCCACCGCCATCAGCGGTAAACAACAGCCGAGCGCCGTGCGAAAACTTTTTCTTCATTTCGGCTGATCGCGGCCGCCGAGGAGCCTTGTGTCCGCGACTTTGATTCGTCGGGCTGGCCGGGAGCACTTGCGGCCGCGAGAGCTCTCCCACACCCACCTGGCCTGGCTGCCACCCTGGCCAGTCGCGACCCACTTCCCACACATCTAATTTCATCGGATCGCCATCGGCCCGGCAGCCTGGCCGCCTGCCGGGCAGCGGGACGTGGTGGTGGTGGACGGCCTCCGGGAGGAGGACCGGGAGAGGGAGAGAGAGGGTCCTAGAGCCTGTCTAGGTCAGCGCTACAGCACGCGCTGTAACCAGGTTGTAACCGCCCCGCGACTGCCCTCCATTTCTCTCTCCCTCCCATTCGTGTTGACATCCACGGCCGCGCTTCTTCGGTCTGAAGTCATCCATGCTATGCCACGTCGCAGACGCCGCCCCGCGCCCCGCGCGCCCGCGACTGCAGCAGGCCTGCAAGTCCTTGTACGGCTGAGCTGAGCAGAGCTGCTCACTTGCAAATTGCACAGAGGGGGGCGGGGGGGGGGCGGAGGGGGAGAGCGGGGAGAGGGGGCACACTTCATGTCTAGCTGCGGGACGGGACGGCGCGACGGGCCGCGGCCTCTGCGCAGCAAGCAACAATCACCCGCACCACTGCGACACGGGCGGCCGGGTAATGCTTGTGATGGAAAACTTATCGGATTACTTTTATCACTGGTTGGGGTACACCGGCGGGGCGGTGGTGGCGGAGCCCCCGCTGTGGTGCCCACCTGCCGTTGCCCAACCTGGTCCACGCCGCGGTGCCCGCCCGGCCCCGCCTCGCGCCCCGCGCCACGAGGCTGCCAGTCTGCGCCGCCACACCGCAAGCGCCCCGCGGCAACACTAGCAGTAGGACCCGAGCCCGAGCGCGCGCGTTGCCCAACGAAGGTCTTGTATTATCCAAATTTCCCCGTAGAAGGTCGCAGCCGCCACCGCCACTCCAGGGAATTTCGTCCCTGAAGGGAGTCGTCGTCGTCATCGCGGTCGTGGGTAACGCGAGGGGGCGGGGGAAGGGCAGCAGCACGGAGACGCGTACAACAACAAGAGTCTTTTGCGTCATGCCCCCTCCCCACTCCTACCTCGCGGAACCGACTGTGCGCGGTGCTACACCGCGGGACGCACGTATACGTACGCATGCACGGGGGATCCTGGAGAGTAAGGCGCCGCCGCGCCGGCCCGGCCGCTGCTCGTGTAACGATCGGTCTGGGCGTGACGGGACGCGGCGGCGAGCGTGACATTGGCGTGACAAGGGCGTGACGCGGGCGCGCATATGATGTCACGCTCGGAGCCGGCCGCGCCTGCCGCCGCGCCCATGCAAGGTGCTTCCTTACTGGTGGCTTCTTGTGTAGTTTCGCAACGCGTTCGCCGCGCGCAGCGGGAGCAGCAGCAGCAGCAGTTCCAACGTTCCAACTCCGACCGCGCAAAAACGAAAAAGAAAAAGGCATTTTCCGCGGTATACCCTGTCGCGTCTTGCGTAACCCCCCGACAACAACTGACGTGTTGCGTCGGACAATTAGCGACCGGAAACAATCGCAGCGCAGGGTGGCGAAATAGATCAACGGGAAGAAAAGCACTGTGAACGCGCAACGCGCGCGGCCCCGGGGGATGAGCACCGCGAGCAGGGCCCGAGCGGCCTCCGCCGGGCGCGCAGCGACGCCTGAGATGGGCTCATCCCGCATCCAGGGCCGCGCCAGCGGGTATTTGAACCCTCCCGCCCCGCTCCACCCGCCGCCCGCCGCCGGCCC